TCAGACAGACCGAGACAGACCGAGACAGACAGACCGAGACAGACCGACCGAGACACACCGAGACAGACTACACAGACAGACAGACAGCCGGCCGGCCGACAGACAGACAGACAGACAAAGGTGCGTTCGTCCGTGTGTCCTGCTCGACCGAGACAGACTGACAGACCGAGACAGACGCACCGGGACAGAACGCTCTGTGAAAAGGCTGGTGAGTAGATAGGGCCATTGCGAAACGCTTCTTCAAGCTTGAGCCCGGTTAACATTTCCTCCCGGCTCCGAGAGCACAAGTTGCTAGTTCCCGGCTCCGCGAGCGCAGGTTGCTGCCGAGCCGGTACCTAGTAGGGTGCTAATGACACACTTTTCCCATGTATGTCTGGATGTATGTTTGCAGGTATGTATGTCTGTTTTCATGGATGGATATCTATGTCTGTATGTGTGTGTGTGTGTGTCTGTTTTCCCTTTACTCAGTACTCTGTGCGGGCGGCTTCGACCGCGAAGCGGTGTGAATAGTTGTTGTTAAGGCATGCCTTTGTAAAAAAGTAAAATAAAATAAAACTTGACGCGGCTTTGCTATTCTCCGTGTCCTGTATTGTTTGTGCTTGCCCACAGCCATTCACAATAGATTGTGCTTTCCCAGCAACAAAACAATGAACCTGCTTGCAAAATGCATTTGTGCTGCATGTATAGTTGCTTGCATTTCAGCTAGTTTCAAGTGAGCTCCCAATACCATTTTGATTGTCTTGAGCCTACGGTTTCCTATGGTTTCATATCTTTGCCTCTCAACTCCAAACTATTCTCTGTTGCGTATGCCTGCTCTGTTTTTGCATGCACATTGCTTTTTACCGGCAGTGCACTTCCACATCTCCGAAAATCCCAAGTTTCTCACCACGCTGCCCATCTCTGAAAGCTGTTGTCCAAATGCTTTTCGAGAGCTTGCGCGACCTGAAAGCTTCACTCAGGTACTCTAAAGCTGGCCAAAGGCGCTTGATCCCCAAAATAGGGGAATAAGGCAAGCCATGCATGCCATGTATGGTTTTTTGGTGTGATTTCTTATGATTTCATCCTAGACTAGCAAAGATTGAAGAATCGACGGCGGTTCTCTGGTCACCTGCATGGTTGGTGGTTCGCTTGGTCTGTATTTGTCGAGGCCAAACGAATTCCACATTTTGTCTCAACATGTTCTGTCACATGACGGCTGGCTTTGTGCAGACCTCACTGACTCCTGAGGTATCATTAGTATGTCGTACCAGAGAAAGAAAAAAAGCCTGGACATTGACAGAAATATCAAACACAATCAAACCATAGTGAGTCTGAGTGTTCGATAGTTCTGTATACATATTTTTTGGTTGCACCATATTTCAGCAAGTGGGGGCTGGGAGGTGACACCCAGAAAAAAAATGCCGTGCACATCTGTTGACCAAATTTCATGCTCCTCTGAGGCTTCAACGGCACATGTGGCTCAAGGCGCGCTCTGCCTGGCGCAAAAGTGCAGGTGATGATTCTGATCTAAAATATTGGGCAGATTGGGCGGTGATGGATCTAAAAGCGCCTACATCCAAGCACAGAAGCAAAATATTCAAATTCTAAAATGACAACGAGCACTACAGCTGAAACAAAAAGGAAGAAAGGGATCCCTTGGAAGGTCCTAACAAAGACAGTTGCATTGAAAGTGCCTGCCCAATCATGCGCATACAATGGTGAATGCCTTAGGATGGCTGGGAAAAAGTAGCATTTCAAGCAGCATAAATATTTTATCATATTTTATCTTATAATGAATCTTGCAACGTCTCCTTGACTTGACAACAATTAGGGCATGCAGAATTGCAACTACCAGAGTTGAGCGATGGTGAGACTTCTCAGACCTCTTATATAGACTTTATCATATATTTGAACCAAATCATTAGTGCGAGTGCTTCTTCAAGGAAGCTCCCCCCCACCCTCAAGCGGAGGCACCGGGGAGCTTCCTTGAAGAAACGTGAGCTTGGAACACCTGAATGAGACTTCACCTCGAAGCAAAAACGCGCTCGCCACGGCGGGATGAGCGTCCCGACGGCCCGGGCCCAATCGCAGCTGGGCGATTTCAAAGCCGCGGCCCTGCGGCTTTAGCGCGCGGGCCAAGAAATGGCACGAGGTACGGTGATTCACTGGTAGAGAGAGGATGATAGAGGAAGGATAGAAAGTCAACCTCCGTAAATACCGTAAAATGCATCGTTTCTAATTATTTGTTTTGAGCGTTAGTGGGACTTGGGTAATGCTGTTGCACCGGAATGGGTGGAAATCCTTCAGAGCCTAGGCATGCCTAATTAAGCATGCCTACGCATCAAGAGAATTCGCAAGAGAATCCGCGCAGCGAGCTTGCCAGCTTTGACAGAACACCCAGTAGCACAGCGAAGAAAAAATATCGCGCGGCACGGTCGAGGACCTCAAATACGCAGTTTGTGATACACTGTGATTCCTTGAAGTAAAGCAAATGCACAAGAAGCGCTACGTCTGGTTCAAATAAGCTGCTTGCTGTCATTCGCAGCCCCCTCCATGCCTCTCCCCAAATCATGTTGCTCAGGGGCACACGAACATCCTGGTACATGTAAATCACTATAGGTTCAGGAAGTCTGAGGCTCAAAGTTCTTGGAACAAACTCTCAAACTTGAAGAACTAAGTAGTATCAGAAGGGTTGAAAGCTTCCAAACTGCCACATCTTCTAGGAGTACTGGTGACCATTCTCTGATCTCATTATGCCTCAGACTGCTCTCAGACTGCAAAAAAGGTGAGAGCGAGTTCGTGAAACCGTGCTCTTTACCAGGTGAGAACTGATCTGACCTCGAAGAGAATCTCCATGTGGCCCTTGGGACAATCATCGTCCCCAAAAGTCTCCATGGGCCGCACCAAGGTGATCCCAGGCGTGTCCTGGACAGCGACACGGAACCGCAGCGTCGTGTCCTCTCGCGTCGTGTCGGTTGGAGTCTTTGGGAGGTCTCAAAGCAGACTTCTGAATTCTGATACATTTGGATCATGATGCGGATCTGATGGCCGTTTTGATTGCTTGCACGATTCGCGCGTCTGGTCGGACGCACGATCTGCAGGAATGGGATATATCATGCATTGATTCGCAGGTTGCCCACTCCACTGATATTCTGCCAACTTACATTTTTAGTGGGGATATACTTTTCTATCTACCGTAGTTGGGGGTCTATATACCAAATTCCAAACCTAGCTAATGGCACGGTAGTCTGAAGTTGTATACGATCAAGTGGTATCGTTGTCGTGGCATGTAGGTTCCTTTCATGCACTGAGGCAAGACGGACTGAACTGGCGTGAACTTGTGGAAGGTGCAGGAACAACCAACACAGGACTCTTCCAAAAAGCGAAGAGGCCCGATTTTTGCGGGAGAAAGCTGAGCTCCACACCATGGGCACCAAAATTTGAGATTGGGAACGGTAGGTCGCAGCATCCTTTGGCCCTGTCCTCCCGGACTAAGCATCCACTTCAAGACTCAAACATAGCCAAAATGGAAACAGCATGTTGATGGATGAAGGACAGTAGTTTGATGTAGTTTGCTATTAGCGGAGCCAAAAAAGAGTTGCCGAAAACCTTAAGAGCATCCACCGGGCGTCCTTTGCAGCCAGTCTTACCCCCTTTTTGTAATTCACACAATTCAGCGGCTCCTGCCCATGAGAATCATGATTTTGCAGTCCACATTCCTCAGACGAAGGGCGACAAACGATGGGAACTGCTCGGACGCATACAAGTTCTCTCAAAGAAGTGTGCGCCAAACACTGCTTGGACTCTCAGTGAACACCCTGACATCTGAAAACCGAGCCTCGCAGCGAGGAAATTTGGGCAGGGCCGATCTGCTGGGCACAGCAACTGGGAAACTGGTCGGAATCAGATGAGAAGCATCGGAGTTCTTCCTGAAAACGCCCAGCTCGTCGGACGCGTCGGACGAAAGCGGTCAGCCGGTCAGCTGAAAAAGCCAAGTCTCCCAGCTCCAGTGATCCAATGTTTTCGGCCTGAGACACGGTTCAATGATGTTCAACTGTCTGAGATATGGTTTGTTCGAGCATGTCTCATCGAACGAGTCATAATAATAGATCGTATAGAAAAAACATGGAACAACCATTGGTGTGACACACCTTAACGAAATGACTGAGAAGATACATACGTACTGTACTATCAGGGTGTGAGTAGAACTTGTTCTCAGGAGAACGCCATTGATCACCCAGTGGTCACCATCACGCGTGATCATAGTCCTGAAAACATGCAGTTCGCTCGGAACTCTGGCAGTGCAGAACTCGCCCAAACTCAGACTTGCGAAGTTTACATGTGCTTCAGATGGAAGAAAAGAAAAGAACCCGCCAATGGCTGGAAGATATCCTTCTCTTAACTCTTAGGAAGGACTGACTCATGTGCCAACCGCATCCTTACGAACTGCTTTGAGCTGCAAAGCATAAAGAAATGTCCTTCAGATAGTATTCTTAAGTGAGACGGCAATAATGTCCTTCAGATATGTACTAGGTTACCGCATTCGAATTGCGCGACAATCTCCTGATGTTGGTGGCATCGCTACTTGCGACTGCTGGCTCAGTCATCGCCTAAGAAGTTGAGATCCATCGCTGTAGTGCATGAACGTTGGTGCGAAGCTACTCGCGGAAGCACGCAAAAGCAGGCAGAGCAAAAACGCTCTGTCGACCAGAACCGAACCGAACATAGAAATCTCCACCGGTTGAGCCAGCAGCATAGCAGGAGCGGATTTTGGCATCCAGCAATGGCTCCTTGGTTGGCGCTGTGATTCTGGGTTCGTGAAATCACAAGAGGACCAGATGGAACAGTCGTAATAAATTGAAGGCTTAAACTTAAAGGTGAGTGGAAAAAGCAAAGACATGTGGCAGACCAAAGTAAAAACACAAATGAACGCCAAAACAAGCCTGATGCAATGCTTTGGCAAATGTTTGTGCAATGCCGAGATCCTCGCAAGCCAAAGCTTCTTCTGCTCCTCTGTACCAAATCTGGCTAAGACCTGTTGTCACTTCGGCGATGGCAGAGCCAGGGAACATGGTGCTGGTCTTTCGTTGATATTCGATGATATTCGCGGAGGTCTCATGTCCAGATCCTTTCTATTGCAGTCTCATTTGATAGAAAACACCGGCATGTCAATAGTGCCTCAAGAGAATGCCCAGCCATTATTGTATCAAGATCTACATGGAATCTAGACAAAAATTGACACTCAGAGGCAAAAGAGCTGGCTTTAAGAGTGCCTCCATATTGCCAGTGTCAGGACTGGCACAATTGCAAGCCTGGTCTGACAGTGTTGATTCATGCTCATCTGAATGCTATATGTCACTGTTGTAAGTTACAACAGTCGCTTTAGTGACACACTCAACTCTCCAGCCGTTTCGTTGCACAAATTCCTCATGAGTGGCCATCTGTGGCCTGGCCGTGATGTCCTTTTCAATGTCAAGTTTGTTGAATTCATTTGGGACTAACTAAGCTCCATGATTGAGTCTGACCGATGAAGCATGAAGGCACAACATAATACTTGATCTGTTTCCGCTACCGTTTCCTTCTGTTTATCCCTTACACGTTCGCCTCAGCAGCAAATTCAGCGTGGTTCGAAGTGCCCATGATTTCACAGCCTGAAGCATGTGTGCATGAGACCCCCAACGTCGAGCGTTGTGCTGTACGTCTTCAACATGATGTTTTTTTGTTTTTTCTGGGATGTCCTCATACTTATTCAATTCTTTTGCGTGTGTTGCATGCTATGTCCACATGGCTTCTATATATATATATATTTCCAACAACTTAAAGTCGTCATCTGTCTCTTCTCTCACACCACCACAGGTCGAATGGGTCGAGCACGTCGACAACTCAACTTCACAACGTGCGCATTCCGAGGTTCTCGCAATCCGCATACCTCAGGACATATTGAGGGTGGTAAAGGAAAAACTGGCGAGTGCAAGTAGGCCCAAAAATACAGCCAACCAGGCCACAGAACGCCAAAAAAATCGTACTATGCTGCCCCAAAAAAGGAAACGACACAAACAAAACATAACAACAATACCAAGCCGGCACTCACGAGGCCACGAAACCACCCTCAGGCTTAAGGAGCCATGCTTGTCATATTGTTATTTTGTGTAGGGAAGTACAGCACTTCAGCGGCAATGATAACACTTCGGCTTTTGAGTCCATCTCATGTTCATCTCATACTACAGTACATCAGACCTGTGTCATAGTCATATGAGTCATAGTCATATGTATCTTTCGTAGAAATGTCAATCTTGCAATCTTGCAAGTTACGAAACACCATGTCTGCCATGTCTTGTATCCCATGCCGAGGTGCTGCAGGTTGGTCAGACCACCACCTTTACGGCCAGCGAGTTGAGCAGAATCCACCGGCAAAAACAGGTTCCTCGGCGAAGCGCCCCCGGAGCGCGGCGAAGACCCCAAACCCTTCGCCGCCCGAATCTTCGGCCGAGCCCCGAATCGCATCGTCCGCTCGATGGAGTTGGGAGCACACCCACTACAATTCTAATTAAATTCTTATTGTTACGAGTAGTAAGGCACGTGTTACTACTAGTAGCTTCTTGTTACTACTAGTAAGGCACTTGGTCCTAGTAGCGATGCACTTGTTTACGGAACCGCGCACAGAGTTTGGAGCACGGAGCCAAAACCAAAGCCCCACACTGAGGGCACGACCAAAGGCCCCTCGCCTGACGAGCAGAAAAGGATCGACCGAAGTTCAAGACATCTAGATACATCTAGTTTATAATCTAGTCAAGATCCTTTGTTGATCCGCTCCTCTTCCAATCCTTCATTCACAAAGACTCAGAGAGGGAGCTGTGGGAGCTGTAAAGAGCTTGTCCTTCATCCGGTATTCTTATCAAACATTTTTGAACATTTAGGTTTGGAACAAAACCCCGAACTTATGCTGTCAGGCCGAAGTGAAGCTGTGAAAGGCAACTGGGGAGGGCCCTCGCCTTCGCCTTCTCTCGAAGCTCAAAAATGATTTGCGGCTGCTTCCAATGGCTTGGCCCTTTAGAACGGATCTCTTTTACCTCCGGTTCAAAACATCCAGCGGCAATGTCTTTACTATTGGCCAACTGCAATTCATTGTTCAATCCACACCCTCTTGCTGGAGTATCCGCTCAATCTTACCACAGCTGTGTTCCCAGGTAGTAACTAGCAGCATCTAGCAGCTAGCACAAGGATCCAGCAACTCTTAGTCACTCCATGAACCTTGCTACAAGGATCCGGCAGGACTCGGCAAACTCTGCGTCAGATTTTTCGCGTTTTGCGCCTCCTTGATGTGCCGCAGCTCATTGGGATAAATCCTCAGCCCACCGGAGAAGCGAAGACGAAGACACCGCCGAACGTAACCGGCCGCTCTGAGATTCGGCGTTTCACTGCACGGAACAGGCCCAGTCGGTCGTTGAAAGTCAAGATCACGAATTTCGTGCCCTGCTGCCAGACTTGTTCCCAGAACAAAAGAAAAGCATCTGTGTGCCGGCCCAGGGTCTCTGTCTTCATGAAGTCCCATAGATTCTCCTTCAAAAGCCATGCGGCATCGAATGGGAAGTAGATTTGACCAATAAATAATAAAGGATGAACACTTGATTGAAATCTTCGTTGTTTGAAGTTGCGAATTTCATTCGTGAAATCCACACACTCTCTCCTTGAGCGCCTCAAACTGACTGGCTTCCATGGTTTCGAAGAGCTAGATTGGCAGCAAGGTGCTCACAAGTTCAATGGTTGGATCTGACAGGCATCAAAGCCGTTAAAGCATGCTGATGTCTGACGTCATAAGTCTGTTGCGAAGCAATGAGTGGTAGGATGTGAACACACTGAGACAGGTCTCATGCAAGGTTCTGCCATGTTGGGCGTTCTGCGAAGAGCAAACAGCTGCAAAAGCCGCAAAAAATAACTTCCTCCTGAGTTGCTGCTGGGTTTCAATCGTACCAATCCTACTGGTGTTTCTTGCTCTTCTCTGTGGTAGCCAATCTGAAGGCCAATGGTTTTCCAATCCTTTGCTAACGGGATCAAATCCCTTGTGAAATTCACGGCCATACCAACTCATACAAGTAAAAATGTATTGAAAGATTAATCGATGGCAATGTAGTAAAAAAAGCACCCTATGGCAACTCTGGACTCTCCACAGCTTTTGGATGCTTTTGGTACTTTTTTCGTAACTAAAACCGATGGCACGGGTCACGTGTCAACCCATCGCACCAACTTCGCTGTTTGCGAAGGCTGTGCCAATCATTGACCGAACTTGGATGTCAAAGGATGGCAATTCTGTCAAGTTCCCACGTTCTGAGCAGGTTGATGACGTCATTGGGATCTAGCATGTGTTGGTAAATGTCAATGCCATCCTCTGCATACGTTCTTCACTGCTCCATCTTTGAAATCAGCTCATTGCCTGCAAGAGCCATTCAACTGACTATTCTAGGTCTTGGAGATTCTTGATCACAGGTTGCCACGAACGCCTAAGTTTTAGAAGCCCTTCCTTCGAACATACACTTCAACTTTCCAGACTTATGCAAAGCAAAGTTGAATAGAGAATTTACACTTATATAAGTTTCCTCGCCTCGGATGGCCGGTCCGTCGAGGAGAAGGTCTTTCGCCTGTGTCAAACAAAAGAGCTTCGTGGCAAACGAGAGTTCTCGTCACACTCCCACACAACCTCATTTGGCTAAGCGTCTTCTCACAAAGCCTGAACTGGAAAAACGGCAGCAGCACTGTTCTGCCTTCAGAGATTCAGAATTCAGTACACAACATCTTTAATACATGTTCTGTTAATACTTGTGTTGAAAAGATTGCGCTTGGGCTAAATCCACCTGTTCGCACACATCAGAAGAATCCGGAGTCTGGCAAAAGACCAATGAAACATGAAGAGAAGCGCACTTGAAGAGAAGCCGTCTGGCCCTATGTCCAGAAAGGTCGGAAAGCTCGGCCATTCCCACCCTCCTGAAGTCGCTAAACCCCCGCATATGAAGAGGTTGTTCCATCCAAACGGGTGGGTACATCCGTCATAATCGTCATACAACATGACAAGGGTATGTGTGGTCGCGTACCTCGCCCGCAAGTGCATCCAAACAGGTGGGTTTTGCTACATCAAGAGTCTACATCAGTCTGTGTCCGGCATCACCGGCGAAGAGGTCCATTGACATCAGCGGGCCTCGCAGTCCACGGGGCTGTCGCACTGGGTTCCGCCTGCCAGTGACATTCTGCAGGGAATCTGCCACATCAACTGAAAGGGTTCATCAATTGCTGCACCTACATCGTTATTAGGTTGGAGGCCATTGCTATTAGGTAGGGGGCAAAGTGGCATGTTAAAAGTCCTAAAAAACATCCGCACCCCGGATGATTGTGCGCCTTCACGTATATTCGATGACGTTGACACTTTCTGATTTGTCAGTTGAGAAGCAACCCTTGTCGCTGCTGGAGATATTCCAACAGATTTGGGTACTGGGTAGGACAAATATTGTTTATAATTATACTAGATATATTTAGCCCATAGTGCAGCCAGTCCAGGATCTCAAAGTTGCTCCGGCCAACTCGGCAAGCTTGTTTGCAAGTCTCAGCCCAGGTTAGCATTCAGCTGGGGTTCACGGACAAAGAATGGGATGAGCCTCTCTCTCTCTTCTCTGTGTGCAGATTTCCATAGCAACCAGGTGGATCGCAGTGAGTGATGTGAGTGCCAACAAATATCAGCCAGAAATAGCGTGGGCATCTTGCACCACACCAACGGCCGCACCCGCGGTTCCGCCGGGACAAGAAAAACAAACGGATTCAAATCCCTGCGGCGTGTGCAAGCCAAAAATAAATGTGCTGCCAACATGCGCAGATCTGTGGATTTAAATGATTTTGTGTGTATGCACTGCACTTTAAAAACATCTAAAAACAGTGTCAGGTCAAAAATTTGGCTGGAGTCCTCTAGCTGACGGGGACACAGCGTTCGGTCTACTGCGAACAGCTAACTCCTTTGACATCTATGACAACCTGCAGGGATGCGATGCAGATGCTGTACAAGAAACTAGGGAGAAGAATCTCGGCCCAGTTCCAATCTTATTCCAAAGTCATTGGAGATGTTCTTGCATATTAACAGAATCAATGATCGTGAAAACATCAGGCGATATAGAACAAGCAAAGTGAGCATGTTGGACAACCAATGTGGCCCGTTGGTTTCTTTCTTCTCCATTGCCGGGCTGAAGGCCATGGAGGGACCGCCGCCGGTCAAGAAAGCGTCTCGGTCGTGTCCTGCACTCAAAATAAAGACAAGTGGACACAGCAGTGACAGCTCTCCCAATGAGTAGCTCGCATCTCTTACGAAACCGAATTGGCCCAGTCATCTCGAATGCGTCGAATGCTCATTTGTGATGGTTGACCCTGGTACCATAAAGTTCAACACCATTCCCTCATCAGGAGATCCACAACGCGTTTGCCGAGCCTCGTGTCAATCGCGTTTCTATATAATATGTGAATCCAAAACCAAAGCTTGCTGGAAATGTGTTTCACTGTTCAAAAGAATTCAACGCAACACGCTGAGTTCAAACATTTTTAGCAGCTCCATATGCTTCGTGAGAGCTTAGCAGGCCACCCTGTGCCATGAGCTCCTCCACGAAGGGGCTGGACAGCTTGCAGGAAAATTGCAGTGGCCCATGTCCTGGACATTGCCAAGTGGAATTCACAAAGTTGACATCCAAATATATCTAAGTCTAAGTCATCCAAAATGCCAGAAACATCCAGAATCATCCAGAAACCAAGGCATGACATGTGCATGTGGATCTCAAAGGTCTTTTTTTCAGGGCCCCAAGCGCGGCTTGGCCGCACGTTGCAGCCCCACCAGGTCGAAGTGGGTGCTTCGGGGAAACACATCACCGAAGGCCTTCGCGGTGTGTCGCCGGCGGTGCTCGTGGGCGGAATGCTGGGTGGCCACGGAGTCTTTGACCGTCTTGGCCATGTCCAGGACGGTCACGGCAGTGGAAACACGCTGTCGCAACTCCACTTCCAGCGCAAAGTCCCGCAACTGAACTTCCTGGATCATCTGTTGCGAGCGCTCTTGCAGGTCTCTTGCACGAGTCTTGGCTTCCTGGAGTCCTTGGTTTACTGCGAGGTCGATCTGGTGAATATCGTCATCCACACTTTTCAACACCTGCTGTCGCAAAAGGACCTCCTCTTGAACCCCTCGATGGATTTCAACCTTGGCCTTCTTCAATTCCTCGTGAACAGCTTCCAACTCCTTCATCAACTCCGACTTCATCTCAAGTGCTTTGGCTTCGGTCTCCTCCAACAGCTGCTGCCGCCGCTGCCGCAGGACTTGGCGCCTTTTCTGCAACTCAACATCCTGCTTCTTCAAGGCTTCAAGTTGTTCAACCTCCACCTCTTCAATTTGCTTTGCGAGATCTTTGAGCTTCTTCGCCTCCTCACGCAAACCCTTCTCTGCCGTCAAGCGCTCTAAACGCAAATGCCGGCACTCCTCAGCATAGGCGAGCTCTTGTTCATCCGCGTCCAACATCAAATCCTCCGCCTGATCCTTGACCTGCGCCATGCGCTCCCGCAGGGCCGAGGTCTCGGCCACCTGCGCAGCCTCTGCAGCACTGGCGCTCTGCAAGATGTCTGTCTCGCGCTGAGAGGCTTCCTCTTCAATGAGTTTCTGTTGTTCCCTTGAGTCGAGCTCCTGCTTCTTCAAAGCGTCTCGCTCTTCACGCATACGAGCCAACTGCTTCTCCACCACATCCTTCTTGGTGTACCACTCTGGTTGTTCGTCCATGAGGGGTTGGAAGTTCACCCGTGCGGATGGTGTGTGGCGTGAGGTTCCCTCAATAGCAATGGCAAATGTTATCAAATGTTCACTGCATGCATGGGATGCTGCAGTAGGGGTGTTTTAACATCGTGGGCATTAAGTGGCTCCGATGGATTCTGTATATATTACTGTATGTTGATCAAGAGGGGTGTGCCAGCAGATTCCAGTGTCTCTTCACATTTGCTCTTCACTTGGCAGGTATACATGGAAATCTTGATCCATGAGAAACTACGTGGCACAAATCGAAAGTATGATGACTCAGGAAGTCTGCGGTCCAGACGGTCCTGGCTTCATATGTTCTATCTTGGTAGGTTGCTTCGGACGCCTGTCAATAATGTCCAACCAAAACATATTTCAAGGATGCTCGAGGATCCTGCCTCAGAACTTGACATCTTTGACATGTCCGTTTGACTCCCTTCAAGATCGCATGTTTGTTGGGGCACAAGAAAGGCCATCGGTGCTCCTGGGTTCAAAGACCAGAAAGGCCATGCCACGCAGCCACCGCAGGTTGCCTGAGCTCGAGAACTGACGATGTTCGTTACTCCCCGTTCTTCGGCGTGTCAAACCATCCCACCTGGCATCTTCGGAACGCCCAATGACGCCAATGACATCCTCGACCTCAAATCAGGTCGTTCTTGGGACGCAGAAGTGACCAGAAAAACTGTTAGAAAAATATAGAGAAGAAGACAAAACAAGTAAAGAAGAGATGAGCAAAATGAAGGTAAGCCATGAAAGTAGGCCCCTTGCTTTTGGCATATCTTGCTCTTTAAATCTGTCCAACGTGGACGATTTGTCGCCCGTCCAACCCACCAAGCTCACGACCCAACGCTGTGGTGCCTGACATGCAGTCAGTCACTGTGAGACAACTCAATGACTGGTGTTATATATATATATGACTGGTTATAACATATTGCGGTATTGCATATTGCATTATGACAGTAGTTATGTAAGACAATGATGTATATAATATATTATGCAATATTGTGCAATAGTATGCAATATGTTATACCGCACCGGACTTGTGACCGTTCGATTCACAGTCACCCCTTCACAGATTCACAGCTGTATCGGAAGACCAATTCGAGACCTTCGCCAAGCCTCGTCTGCCTCACGCGAGACAATTCGCAGATACCTGCCATCTCCAGTCTTCCGCGCTCTTCACGACAATATCACAGTCTGGTTTGGTCATGTTTGGTACTCGACGGTCTTCCTCTGGCCTGCCACTGGCGAAGGTCCTTTTGCCTGCTTTGCCGCCACTGAGCCACTCTACGACGGTCAAGCTATCCTGGCGGTACGAGTCACGTCGGCGGGCGCGAGTCACGTGGGTGTCGTTCCGAGCCTTGGAGGAGAAGCCCACGACAACACCCACCCAGTTCGGATCCTGAGTCCAGAAATGGTTCGCATCCGACTCAACGGTTTGTTTGGGAAAACAGCAAGAAAATGGAAGAATGGAGCCAAAACCCGCTAAGAGCGGCACATCGTGGTACCTTAGTTTCAGGACATCTTCGAGAACTCGGAACGCCGGTCGATCAACCTCTCGATGATTCGATGGTTCGACCAACGCCGGTCGTTCTCGGCTTTTGCGGAGCCCAGATGCTGCACCCTTTGATCTTTCCGCAAGGGTAAACCACCGCAATCCCGCGGCTCCTGCAGCAAACGAATGACAATCGGATACAATCGGTCTCTGTCGGTCTCTGTCGGTCAGTCTGTGAGTAGTTACTTGGCTTCACATTTGGCCTCACAGGCGCTGGGGAAAACCTCTGATGGAATCTGATGGAAGTCTTATCGTTCCGACAAGGCATTGAGTTGAGGCATGCCAAACAAGACACCCAAGTCCAGGCACTTCAGTTGGGTGATGACTGCCCCAGCCTGTGGTTGTGATACCGGTAGCGAATCACCTGCCACAGAGTCTGCAAGCTGGCGCTGAAGAAAGTCTGTACATGTTCATTTGGATCCAACATGATCCAACTCAGGACTGAGAACTACAAAAGTCAAATATTATATAAGTCACTAAGAAGCTACTAGAAACAAGTGCCTCCTAGTAGTAACAAGAAGCTATTAATTTAATTTCACTTACCAATATCAAAAATCTCCAGACATCGAAATCAAAACTAACACTGCAGCAAGTTAGGCATTAGCGAGTCGTAGTCAGGTAGTCCATGACACAGGAAGCAAATCGTGCAATATGAGAACAACAGAACAAACACCAGGACATCGATAAGCGCTTCCCAAAAGAGACAGACTTCAGCGGCTCGAAAAACAGACTTTGAGGTCGCGTCGAGGCCCTCAAGACCATTAAACTTGGGGCACCCAAAGATTACAGTAGTTCAAGGGAAAAAATATGACAAAAAATTAGCATGTCCTTGGTATATCATGGTACATCTAGGTACTCTATGGTGCTTGCCCGATGTGAGTCCCACCTGCAGGCTCTGGTCGCCTCTCGGGAATGGGCATCTCACGGGCCTAGCCAGGTGAGCCGACATAATGGCCTCCAACACACTTGACAAACAAACAATCCTCTCTTCAGAACATCTCCCTCAAACATCTTTGAGTTCAGCACCTCCTTAGGTCCTTTGGTGGAATAGGTCAGGAGGACTCTTGTTACAGTGTGATTGCGGGTCCGGGGAAAAGTGGTTGAAGTTTGTGGTCCTGTAACCGTTCTTGTCATTGTCATCACCCGTTTGCTCTCCTACCCTCTTCTTAACGTTGCAATTTACGCTTCAGTTTTTGAAGGCGGCCACCAAAGACCATTGATGATGTTGTGAAAGAACCGTACATTTCCCAACATCCTAAGCCCATATTCATACTAATGAGTTGCTAATGTTCTCTGGATCCACCTGCTAGTCCCTTTCGAAAGCATCATACTCTGAGTCCTCTTCAGGCTGCTGAGAAACCCTTCGGCATTTCATCCCTCGATGTCTGAGTTCCGCTCATTCAATTCCTTCGGCCATGCCTGCCATGTTTCTGTACTCACAGGGCTGCACTCAGTCCTGCAGCTTTCGGTCTACACGGCAAGCGTTTTCAAAGCGAGAGGAGGCTCACCGATCGATGCAACAAGGTTTGCAAACAGTCCGCATATACAAAAGGTTTCGATGGGTTGTCGATTCTTTTTGAAGAGACCCGATGAGCTTTTGTGGAAAGCAAGCGGCCGTTTGGATCAAGTTAGCACGGCTTGGGGCACTTGACAAACAAACAGGAAGGTAGCTGTATTCCCAAGGGAAAATTCAAAACAACTGCATCTTAGCCTACTACTGATACTCGCACACTGGCCTTTGCTCACCATGTCTATAAGGTGCAGCTGAAGGAGGCTCAGCAAAAAGCCTGACAAGCCGTATTTGGCTACACTCAGACTTGGCGCTATAAGCTCAAAATTCCTGTTGCATCATCAACACTTTCCATTGGCGGATCCGCCCAATGGCAGTCCTAGTCAACAATATATGAAAATGGACGGAATGAAGCCCTGCCTCGCTTGCAATGTCTCCCAGGAAGGTTTTGCCTGCTTTGCAAACATGCAACAGTCCATAGGAAACTTCTGAATGGAACTTATTCTCTCAACGCCCTCTGAGTATCAGCTGCTGCATCTCTTTACTGGAAAAACGGAGAAAGCGCTCAATGCCACACTTGTAAAACTACATATTGCCCGAATGTCTCTGTTTTGTGATGTCTCACGGTGTGGTACTTCACTGTGCTTCAGGTGTACACCAGTCAATCGCACGAACACCCACCTCCTGCTCCTTTGGCAGGACAGCTTCCTCGCGATGGTCCACGATGTGAAAAAGCACGGTCCCGAGCACCGTCGCGGTCCAGTTGTTCAGGGATAAGAAGGGTGGGCAACCTGTTAAGCAAGGAAAACGGAAAACAGTGCGATCAAAAGAAGGAAGGAATGGATGGAAGGAAGGAATGGGAAGGAAAAAGAGAAAAATAAATGATTTGATTTCCTTCGTTTTCCTTGAATATGATGGAATGGGAGTGAAACCTTGGTTTCACTCTCGTTGCTCCTGTGAACTTGCCGCGCCAGCATCTACTGGCGTCACGATTCTCAAGTACCTGTGTGCCCAAAGCGCAGAGGAACTTTGACGAGTTTTGCATGCCTCAGAGTATCTGATAATCCATCTTTTCATGCACTATGAAAAACAAACATCTTTGGCGCGGCCCTATAGAAGCTGATATATCATATACGCATGATATATATATATATATACGCCGATTCTCTTACACTGCCAGTGACTGCTGCATTCGCTGAAATCGTCTCTAAACTATTCTAAACTTATCATCATTCTAGGCTGGGTTGTCGTGTTGAACCTACAGTAATCAGCAGTTTGCCACACCCTAGTCACTCTCAAAAGTCCCGCATGCTGCATTTGAACAAGCCCAGCAGCAAATACGAAATGACTTTCGCCCTCGCTCAAACCCAGTTTTGAGGTTTTTAAGCAAAATTCCTCACATTCCGTTTTGCTATTCACACTCGGCAAGGGGCTCATTTGCGACACCAAATCTGACTCATTTGCGACACCACCACCCCCCTGTATTCCTCTCATGTACGACACCAAATCTCTCTCATTCGCGACACAGACACATGAACACATATGATTGCAAGCATTAGGTTGGGTGGGACATTAGGTTGGGG